AAAACATCAACCTTAAAAAATAATAATTCATCAACTTGTGACATTACGCTTAATCCAACCATAGCGCTCATCAATAGACATACTGACGAATACTTCTTCCATCCCTAATTGGTGAATCACTTTAACCGCATCGTAACGAACATTTTCTTCAAAATCTGAGACTTCTTTGATAGCTTCCCATACATTGTTCTTCTTTTTCTCAGCCTCTCTTTCTTCAGTTTCTCTTTGTTGTCTTGCTTCTCTTTCTTGTATTAGATCAAAAAGATTTTGAGTGACTGTTGTAAGAGAGTTCATCTCAGTCTGGCCTTGTTCTCCATCTTCTCTCTGAATGATTGGTTCACCTGCATTGTTGATGTTATTAGTTCTCTGTCTCTTTCTTAAAGGAAGTTTTTCTGAAGAGGCTTTTGAATTGCTGCTCCAAAAAAGCGTAGAGGTTTCATGATCGTTCTCGACATTCATGGAAAAATCTTCAACATAGTTTGTTTGCTCTTTTTGTGCTTCACTTGTTCGAGCATCCGTACCCTCACATAAACCAATAGCATTCCCACCAGTAGCAATATTGTTTCCAAATATCACTTTGAGATTATCAAATTCTTCAAACGTTTCATTACGAAAAGTTTTGTAAGTCGGATGTGCCTAAATCAATAGAAAAAACAGTGATATTATAACAAAAATTGGTCAATAAATTTAAACAATATATGAGTTATAATCAAACCATACACGTTACACGTTACCAAAGAAAAGAATTTTGTACATACACGTTACCAACATCACAACTACTATCCTATAGTTTGTTGTTTAGCAAAAAAAAAAAAACATCACAACTACTATAATCAGACCATCACAATATAACTTATTGATTCCTTAATCCTATGAAGACAAAAATACATTAAAAATTTTATAAAGAAAAATTTACCTTCATATAATCAGCCCACACTTTGTCAGAAGCCGTAAACCGTTTTGTTATTGGATCCCATCCAAATCCAGAGCTGAAGCGAAGAATTTCAACACCTAATGATCTTTGGTGGGTATCATTAGATATAAAATTATTAAAACACACCTTCTCTCTTCTTTTTACTCAACTTTATACCTTCTCTTTCATCCTTTTATTCAATTTTTATTAATTTTATATTTAAATACACCCCAACTAAAGTTTAAACTCTCTCCAAAAGTATCAACCCATTGATACAAAGACACTCTCTCTCCAAAAGTATCAACTCATCTCCTCTTTTTACTCAAATTTTATTAATTTTATATTTCAATACACTCCAATATTTCAACCAAAAACACTCTCTTTCTTCATTTTACTCAAATTTTAATAATTTTATATTTAATGATACCCACAAAAGATCATCGATAATGATGCTCTTAGATATAGATATTTTCTCTTCAAGGTCTTCAATTCTATTTGAGTAGTTTTGACACACTTATGATTTTGATTAATGACATGTAGTATTCTTTTTTCAACAGTTAACTTGCTGAATGTTCCATTTGCATCACGCCAACCTGCAGCAACACCCTTTAAAAGTAAATTTATCAAAGTTTTGGTTTCTGCTGGACTCCATGAATTATAACCGGTAGTATTCTCCTTTCGTTGAGCTTGTTGTGAATCTCCCATTGATCTATGATGTTTCGAAAAGTTATTACAATATATGTTTGTAGATGCTGAATTTTTTTACGGCCAAAAATTCGTGACGCAAGACGCAGCATTTGACCGCAGCGTTTGGCCGCAGGAACTTGCGGCATGCAAACGAACAACATTTGACCGCATGATGCAGCCGCAAGCCGCTGCGGCTGTCAAACGAACAGGCCTCAAATAGAGATATTCTTGGAAGAAATATGCACTTATGATATAGAGATCTCACGTATTCATCATCTTGGAAGAACTATGCACTTATGACATAGAAATCTCATAAATAGAGATATTCTTGGAAGAAATATGAACAATCAGTTTGTGTCATGAGAAAATATATGGAAGTTTCGAAAGTGTGTCAAATCAATACCAAATAACAAGGTCTTGTTA